TATATATATAGATAGATAGATAGATAGATAGATAGATAGATAGATGAAATAATACATATAAATCAGAATGTTAATGTAACATTTTTCATTAATTAGTTTTATTAATATATAATATTTTATATATTGTGATATAGATGTATAAAATAATCATATTTATCCAAAAGAAACCTCGTAGTAATTCAGATCCGCTGCAACCAAAGCCACACACTGTCCTCCTGTGCAGCTCTTCTTCGAAGCACTATTTTATCTGAGATGGAGGAAATCAGCCAAGACCTGTGAGGTTAAATAAGACCAGAGCAGTCAAATTTTCACTTAAGATTTAATTTAAGACTGAATAGCATTAGATATCTGGTAGCTGTACTCGTACTACCTGCTTGTTGAGGCAAAAATAGACTCATTTTCAGACTCATTTGCAGTCAGTGCACTGGCAGTCATATGAATTTTGTACGTAATTATAAAAATAAAAAAAGACAGGTTAGATCTGATTGGCCGGGTTTAACATCCAGGAATCACACTGTACCAATCCACCAGGAAACAGAGGCTTTCACTGGAAAAAAGTATCGCCTCATTCATTCATTCATTCATTCATTTTTGCTTAAAGCAAGAACAATATCTGCCAGTGCGGGTAATATGCCAGTGACCCGACTGGCAGATATTTTTCAGAAAACAAGACTTAAGATATTAAGTCATTTTGCTTTGCAAAAGTAAATGTATACTGATTTAAGAATGTTTGGATATTTGTACTGGAAAACAAGACAAAAATACTAAGTAAGGAAATGCAGACTATATGCATTATGAAATTGATGTAATTAATGTGTTTTTTGTTTTTTTTAATAATTATTCTCTGGAACAATAACAACAAGAGACCCCTCCCCCCAAATTCTGTCTTGTTTGTATTAATTCTTCTGCATTCTGTGGTTTATGATCTACAGATGATCAAATTGGATGAATTTATTAAAATGTAAAGATTTAATCAATCTTTTGAAATATAATCTAACAACGTTGCATTTTTTTCGAACAGCGCTGCAACAGGTTTACTGAATAAATAAAAATTTAGATGAAAAATCTCTTGCGTGATATTTCTTAAAAATAATGTTTTATTTTTATTATGTTTCTATTATATATATATATATATATATATATATATATATATATATATATATATATATATATATATATATATATATATATATATATTTATATATT